TTCACGATGTTTCCGCCGTCTTACTCTCCAGCCTTCTTCAGGTGATATAAGTTGGAATTTCGAACTGAATCCATTATTTCGTCCACTGGGGTAGATTGTTCTAGTTCCACGTGTCATGCCTTTTCTGGACATCTCAGTTTCAGTTATTTCCCTTTAGTAACTCAACTCTCCATTTTTTTATCCGCTGGGCTGGAAGTGGATGAAAACGTTGGTTGAAGTAACCCAATGACTTGACCTAAAGAGTTTTGAGTTCAATACCTGTCCACGGCAGAGGGGAACCAAACATGGAGAGTTGAGTTGCTAAAGGAAAATAACTGAAACTGAGATGTCCAGAAAAGGTATGACACGTGGAACTAGAGCAATCTATCCCAGTGGACGAAATAAAGGGCTCAGTTTGAAATTCCAGCGTATATCACCTGAAGAAGGCCAGAACGTACAACGGCCGAAACGTCGTGAATATGACAATAAAGATGGGGACAACGGTCCGAGCAATGTAAATTGTGTAAATAGTTTGTCTTTCTTTTCTTGTGTCAACAGAGGGAAACAAATATATGTAATTTGTTGGTGGAGAAAAAGGTTCTTCTCTGGGCTTGATGGGATTCGAAGAGCACTTTACCGCTGAAACACACATACACACATAAGTATATGTGTGAGTCGATCTACTAGTTAATGTATTATGATACGTTTTTGTGTTTGTTTATTTTTCAAACGGATGCTTATTTGCGTTAATTCATTCTGGCCTTCATGCATGTAATGGACTCTTTACTACATGCATTTAAAGCCATTCTTCCTCTCCATACGCACAGACTTATAAAATGCATATAATTATGTATGTGTGTGTGTGTGTATGTGTGTGTGTGCGTGCATATGCCGAAGCAATATATCAATATTATACGTGCATTAATATATTTCTTACTCATAAAAAAACACTTACTTCAAATGTATAGTCGCCTGCACTCTTATTCATTTTGCGTTTGTGTGCGCGCGTATGTGTAAGAAAGAGAAGGAGAGAGGAAGAAAACAGGAATGTACAGAGAGAGGGAGGGCAGTAAAGGTGCGTCGAGATAGAGGGACGGTGAGAAGAAGAGAAAAGGGGCGGAGAGATGGAGAGGGGAAGAAAAAAGGGAGTGTTGGCATAGAGGGACGTAGAGAATAAGCGGGAGAGAAAAAGTGCGTAGAAATTGAGGGAGGGAGAGAGAGGAAGAAAAAGTGTGTAGGGATAGAGGAACGGAGAGAGAAAGAGAAAGGGGGAATAGAGACGGAAGGAAGGAGAGAAGAAGTGAACGCGAAAAGGAGCGTAGAGATGGCGAGGGGAAGAAAAAAAATGGAGCGTCAATATATAGGGAGAGAGGAAAAGAAAAAGAACGTAGGAAAGGAGGAAGTAAGTTAAAAAAAAAGGGAGCGTCGAGATAGCGGGGTGGGGAGAGAGGAAGAGAACAGGAGCATAGAGATGGAGGGAGGGGGGGAGAGGAAGAAAAAAGAGCATAGAGATGGAGGGAGGGGAGAGAGGAAGAGAACAGGAGCATAGAGATGGAGGGAGGGGGAGAGAGGAAGAGAAAAGGAGCATAGATGGAGGGAGGGGGAGAGAGGAAGAGAACAGGAGCATAGAGATGGAGGGAGAAGGAAATAGGAAGAGAACAGGAGTATAGAGATGGAGGGAGGGGAAGAGAGGAAGCGAAAACTAGCGCAGAGATGAAGAAAGAAAGAAAGAAAAAAAGAAAGAAAGAAAGAAAGAAAGAAAAATCGTAAAGACGGAAGGAGGCTGACGGGCGAGAAACAGAGCTTAGTGTGATGAAGGTTGGGGAGAGTGAGAGAGAGAGAGGGGGAGAGGAGGAGGAGAAAATGAGCGTAGTGAGATCAAAGGAAGAGATTCAAGGTAAGCAACGGAGAGAATCAAGAACAGCTGCCGTACAGGATTTCGCATTTACGACCAATGTGTCATTATTATTATTATTATTACTACTACTACTACTACTACTACTACTACTACTACTACTACTACTATATGTTAGGTTGTCTTTTTGTCATTTTTTTGTTTTATTTTTTGTTCATGGTGTTTTTTTTTTCTTTCAGTGTCAGTTGTGATGTTCTTAATTTTCGTTCTATTACGCCTGCTTGGCTATCGTCTCGATTAATCAGAAAGAAATCTTAACGCCAACATTCCATAGGCGCTTGGGACGCTAAACACAGTCCTAGAGAGCTCGCTACGCATGTCAGCTGTCGATGTTAGTAACGATCGTCAACATGCTACCGAAAGGAAAATTTATTCTGAATGTTCAAATTACCCTCTGCTTATATAAACACACACACACACACAAAAAAAAAAAACAAAAAAAAAACTTTGATGCCTGCGCCAATAATTACTTTTTGGTTTTAATTGAAATACTTTCTTACCTGAATTTCTTAGATGAAACATTGTCAACTTTTATTAACTAACATAATACCCATAAAAAAATAACAGAATTATCACCGTATGGATGGGCAATTGTAGCTCAGATGAGAATATTTATACTCTCATCATAAGATCAAGGAGTCAATCCTTTGTCTAAGATCAGAATATATCTACCCTCTGCCTGAGATCAAAGTGCTAATCCCCGTTCTTCCGTCTAAGATCAGAGGATCTGTACATTCATTCTAAGATAAAAATTATTTCCCTTTCCCTCTAAGGCCAGAATATCTGTACCCTCGGCCTAAGATCAAAGTGCAAATGCACGGCCTTCTGTCTAAGATCAAAAAATCTATGCCCTCAAACGATAAAGTTTATTTCAGTGGTCATCTAAGATCAAATATCTATACAAGTAAAATTACAGTATCGGAGCCTAGTCGTCTCTCGTCCTCTAAGATTTGAATATCTCCACCCGCTGTATAAGATCAAACTTTTTCACCCTGGTCTTCTAAGATCCGAATATCTCCACCTACTGTATAAGATCAAAGTTTACCTCCCTGGTTGTTTAAGGTCAGAATATCTCCACCCTCTGTCTGAGATCAAATTTTACCTAACCTTTTCTCTAAAATCAGAATATCTCCACCTACTGTATAAGATCAAAGTTTACCTCCCAGGTCTGCTAAGATCAGAATATCTCCACCCTCTGTCTAAGATCAAAGTTTACCTCCCTGCTCTTCTAAGATCAGAATATCTCCACCCTCTGTCTAAAATCAAAGTTCACATCCCTGGTCTTTTAAGATCAGAATATCGCCACCCATTGTATAAGATCAATGTTTTCCTCCCTGGTCTTATAACATCAGAATATTTCTCTCTGTCTAAGATCAAAGTATATCTCCCTGCTTCTCTAAGATCAGATTATCTTCACCCTCCATATAAGATCAAAGTTTATCTCCATGGTCTTCTAAGCTCAGAAGATCCCCACTCTATCTAAGATCAAAGTTTAACTCCCCGGTCTTCCAAGATCAGAATATCTTCACTCTCTGGCTAAGATCAAAGTTTCTCTCCGTCGTTTTCTAGGATCAGAATATCTCCATCTGTATAAGATCAAAATTTACCTTTCTGCTCCTCTAAGGATATATCTATCAGAAGTATCGAACCCTAATTTTTGCTTCGGATACTACGAGTGTGTGATGAAAGCTTCATAAGCTGACTATGAAGGAACGATGCTACAGCAGTGAAATCTTGCCTGCATTAATTTAAAATCGTCCTATTAATAACTGCGTTGTTTAAGTCAACTGACTTCTGACTCTTCAAATAAGACTTAAAATGTAACTAGTAGCGGCTTTTTTTTTTGTTTTTGTAAATGGAGAAAATTTGTCATCGTGGTGTTATCTAGTAACTGTAGAAAAAAGAGTTTAGTCCGCAAGAACATTCATGATGACATGTTTGCTACATTTGCGTATGACTTTCCAGCCTTAGTAATAGTACAAAAGTGGACAGTTAGATTTAGGGGGAGAAGAGAGAGTCTTGAAGATGAAACGATGTCTGAACCTCATGCAACTACCACCACTAAGGAAAACATTGATTGTATTCACCGCATGGCGATGGCTGAAAGGCAATTAACTATAAATCAAATAGACAATATTAGCATATCTCATGAGAGAGTTGAGAATATTCTGCACAATCAACTTGCTATGACGAAGGTTCCTTTTTGGTGGGTGCTGCGTCTTCTGACACCTGATCAAAATGCACCAGGTTGATCACATCACGGAAAAATCTAACATTGTTTGAAGCAGATCCAGTTGGTTTCCTTGAAGGTTTTCTAACCCAGGATGAGTGTTGGGTTCATCACTTTGAGCTAGAAACAAATACAGTGGGAACACCGCTCCTCACCTGCTCCAAAAAAAGGCCAAGGCCGTTTGATCTATAAGGAAGGTGATGGCCGCCCTGTTTTGGGATGCAAAAGATAGTATTTATTGAATATCTTCAAATGAGCTGCACCATCAATGGAGTATTATGCGAACTTGGTGAGGCAGTTACGAAAGGCCAAATGCCCATGGAAACTGACGAAAGGGGTCTTGTTTCATTATGACAATGCTTCAGCATCCAAGATTTACGCTTCAATGGCTACTGTGCGTGACTATGGTTTTGAGATGGTTGATTATCATCTGTTCCCCAACATGAAAATCATTTGGTTAGCCACCAGTTTCGCAGTGATGGTATCGTCATATCTACTGATATGACGCCATCATCACTGCAGATATGACGCCATCATCACTGCCGATATGGAGCTATCATCACTGCAGATATGACGCTATCATTACTGCTGTTGATGACTTTTTACCAACAGTATGAACAGTCTTCTTTGAACAGTTACATGTCAGTTTACCTAGAAAAAAACAATGTAGTTATTAATAAGAAGAATTGAAATTAATGCATCGAAGGTTTAGCATCACTCCTTCATAGTCAACCTATGAACCGAGCCTCAAACATATGCGAAACTTTCTATTTTCAAATGAACTTTACTGTCTTGTTCAAGCAGCAAAACGTTGCTCATCTCCAGGCTTGAACCACGACTGGATATTATTTGTTCATCTCCAGGCATGAATCATGGATGGATATTTCTTATTTGTTGATATCCAGGCTTGAACCACGGCTGGATATTTCTTATTTGTTCATCACCTGGTTTGAACCACGGCTGGATATTTCTTATTTGTTCGTCTCCAGGCTTGAACCCCGACTGGATATTTCTTATTTGTTGATATCCAGGCTTGAACCACAGCTGGATATTTCTTATTTGTTCATCTCTAGGCTTAAACCATGACTGGGTATTTCTTATTTGTTCATCTCCAGGTTTGAACCACGGCTGGATATTTCTTATTTGTTCATCTCCTGGTATGAACCGCGGCTGGATATTTCTTATTTGTTCATCTCCTGGTTTGAACCACGGCTGGATATTTCTTATTTGTTCATCTCCTGGTGTGAACCACGGCTGGATATTTCTTATTTGTTCATCTCCTGGTTTGAACCACGGCTGGATATTTCTTATTTGTTCATCTCCTGGTTTGAACCACGGCTGGATATTTCTTATTTCTTCATCTCCTGGTTTGAACCCGGCTGGATATTTCTTATTTGTTCATCACCTGGTTTGAACCACGGCTGGATATTTCTTATTTGTTCATCTCCAGGTTTGAACCACGGCTGGATATTTCTTATTTGTTCATCTCCTGGTTTGAACCACGGCTGGATATTTCTTATTTGTTCATCTCCTGGTTTGAACCACGGCTGGATATTTCTTATTTGTTCATCTCCTGGTTTGAACCACGGCTGGATATTTCTTATTTGTTCATCTCCTGGTATGAACCGCGGCTGGATATTTCTTATTTGTTCATCTCCTGGTTTGATCCACAGTTGGATATTTCTTATTTGTTCATCTCCTGGTTTGAACCACGGCTGGATATTTCTTATTTGTTCATCTCCTGGTTTGAACCACGGCTGGAAATTTCTTATTTGTTCATCTCCTGGTTTGAACCACGGCTGGATATTTCTTATTTGTTCATCTCCTGGTTTGAACCACGGCTGGATATTTCTTATTTGTTCATCTCCTGGTTTGAACCACGGCTGGATATTTCTTATTTGTTCATATCCAGGCTTGAATCACAGCTGGATTTAATTCTTATTTTTTTACTTTGAACGCAACCGAAGTTAGCGACAAACATACAATGTAAGAAACAAACAAAAAATCACGCTGTTCATTATATAGACTTTTTACTTATATTTCTTCCATTTTGTTTTTGTAACTTGTTTCCATTTTATTGTAGCAAACTTCACGTTGCTCAAATGTCCCAGCAAGGCAGTTTCAAGAAAGAATGCACTAAAAGAATTGGTTTATAATAGTAACAACTGTCTGTTTCGAAAATCCAGATAGACATATGGCCGGAGAGTATAGCGGCTGTGACGTTGTAATAAAAATAGTGATTAGCGCAAAAGAATATTTATGAAATTACTTTTGAGAATCTTCAATAAACTGTATCCACGAATTTCTTTCAGATGATGTCTCGTGTCAAAATGCGAATGCTTTTATATTTTTATAAATCTAAAAAGTGTACGATGAACTTCTAAACAAAAAAAAAGAAATGCCTTTCAGTAACTAAGCAAAGAATTAAAGAATCGTAAACAAAGAAGAGAGCGCTGTTTTGCAGGAAATGATGGACAATTTCCTCACGGTCGTAGAAGAGGCCTGAAGTGTTATACCGGGTAAATATTTAGAATAGCATGGACAAAACTTTTGTATAACAAAAGGGAATAAGAACTACAGGTGTAAAATAGTCACGACAGCAACATATGTGGCTACTTATGTAACTCGAAATGGTGTTTTCTGATTACAGTTGTTATTCCGTAGTCAGTTGAGTCACTATGTTAGCCTCCACGGCTGTCTTCAGACCAATACACCAAATTCGCGCTGTCTCTGAAAATCAAATCAGCCGTCTTTTCACCAAGCGAAAGAGTTTTGTAGTATTAAATAGTACAAGACATACAGTCTTTGGTGACTAATTTTATTATCCCCAATAGCGAAATTTTACCGGCAACTTGTCAGTGAAGGAGAAGGAGAAGTGATTTCCGAATCCAAGCAGTTGAAGACCAACATCTTCCTATAGAGAAGAAACTCCTCACTGAAGAATTTTGGAAGGAGAAATTTCTTTTTTTTTTTTTTTTTTTGCCAGAAAATATCGCCTTCTCAATAATTGCTGATTCGTTAATTCACGGGACAATGAAAGGTTACCGCCACATACATCTTTTTTTTCCATTTATTTATTTATTATTTATTGTAGGACTTCTTCGGTGACCGTCAATTAACCCAATCAAATATATAAAAAAAATACTATATATTTAAAAAAACATGTGTGACTTTTTAATTAGGAGTTTTTTTTTTCTTCCTAATCCTTAGCCTTAACTCATACTCTTTTATATTTATCCACCCAATGTTACACGAGGAAATTGCTGCTAGCAATCAGAAAGACACATCGGAAGTTCTCGGACGCATAATGAAGAAATTAGACTTGGATAATTTAACACCCACAGAACAATTTGAAGTTAATAGAAGCATAGAAGAAACAACGGAGTAATTTGTTTTACTAATTTGCAGGAATGAAATAAAGACAAAGAGAACTTGTAAAGTAATAAGATTAATTCAGAATAACAAAAGTAACAAAAGTTTTATTCATGTTAGCCGGTCTTGACTCTCCTCTATGACAAAACTACTGATCAAAATTAACAGAACACAAAATTGATTTCGTCGAAAATTTCAACGAAAAGAAATTCGCATGTGTTTAATTTGAATCATAGTCAAATATCTCTGATAATGACATATAGGATTAAAAAATATATTCAAGTAACTCTGATAATGTCATATAGGATTATAAGCATATTGAAATATCTCTGTGTTGTGGATTCCGGTGATGAAATCCGGTACCAATAAATAACAAACGCCAAGAAGGAATATAGGAAAATAAATGTATTAATGTAATAATACAAACTGGTAATGCAGGTTAGTAGTTCCAGGAATGCGGGTTAGTAGAAAAATATATATACAGTCTTTGGTATCGACGTATCACTGTATGACTTCTTACTGAGTCTACGCGCATGCTCACTGCGACTCTTGCTCCTTACGTTCGTTCTGGTTTCTGCTCGTTCGTCGTTCGTTCTTGTTCTTCTTCCGGGTATTCACTAGCAGTAGTATATGTATACCCTGGGTGAGTCCATTTGTGTAAAAAAGGGGGAGAACCCCTCAACACTCTAATAATGACATACAGGATTAAAAACATTCAAATATTGCTTATAATGACATATAGGATTATAAACATCTTCAAATATCTCTGATAATGACATGTATTTTACAAATTAATTAGTATTGTACAAAAGCGTGATTCAAGCGATTCGAGTAAAACGTATTTTATATCTATGATTTTATTATTTACTGATCTATTATTTCCAATCTAAAAAGTATATATATATATATATATATATATATATATATATATATATATATATATATATATGCTTTTACTGTTATGACGTTTATTTTTGTAGTTATTACTTTCATCATTAATATTTTGTTAAAACGTTTCGACCAATTTATTCTTTGGCCTCATTCTATTGTCTAAGGATCAGATAAGAAGTGTTCTCATAGTTTCATACATTTTTAAAATTGTTTTTATCATTAGTGTTTTAACATGTTTCGGCTGATTTATCCTTTGGCATTTTTTAACCTCTAAAGATCCGATAAGAAATGTTTTCATAATTACAATTATTTTTCGGATTATTGGTTTCATCATTAATGCTTTTAACAGCTTTCAACCAATTCATTCTTTGGCATTGTTCTATCGTCTAAAAATCTTATACGGTTTTTTTCATAGTTCTAATATTTCTGGATAATTTCATTTATCGTTTGAGAATTCTACAAACTAAAGGAAGGCCTAAAATAGACCAACCAAAACGTAACGGTAACAAAAAATCATGGATGATGATGCCAGCCTGAACAAATTGTAAAATATTGATAATGACATGTCAGAATTGCAGAAAAAAAGACAGACGACCAATGAACGTAGGTTGTTAAATATACCAATAACCATGTAAATTATTAGTGGAATAGTGTTAATGAAATCAGATTATTGTGATACTGCGACAGTCTGGAGATATTTGGGTTTATTTTCCCCAATAATGAAGCGCTTGGTGAGAACGGAGCTCACAGCACGAGCGAATATTATTTAGGAGGAATTTTTTAGCCAAATAAGAATGTTAATAATCAGAAAAAGATTAAATTCTCCGGAAGACATAAAGAAGGCTAGGAGAATTTAATACTGGAATGCATGAGAAATGGCGGAAAACGATGAGTAACACACTTAACGTACTTGAGTGAATGGATGACAGAACAATTGCAAAAGGAAATGTAAAGGGTCTAAAGTCACTTGGAGAAGCGAAATACAGGAATACAGCCATGATTTCCCATGGAATATACAGGATGAGAATTATATCGCGATAAACACTTAAATAATCTGCGTAAAAATCATATTTTAACAATTAATTAAGATTGAAAAATGGAGATAGAAATCAACCAATGTGGTTTGATATATAACAATTGAAATTAGATAATGAGGATTGAATATACGAAGACTGAAATACTACGATAAAACTAAAATCAACCAATGAGGATTGATTACACGAAGACTGAACTACTACGATAAAACTAAAATCAACCAATGAGGATTGAAATACGAAAATTCAAATCAACCAATGAGGACTGAAAAACGAAGATTCAAATCAACTCATGCGGATTGAAATACAAAGATTCAACTTAACCAATGAGGGTTAAAATACGAAAATTCGAATCAACCAATGCGGATTGAAATACGAAGATTCAAATCAACTAATGAGGATTGAATATACGAATATTCAACTCACAATACTAATTAACTATATCAGGTGCACCTACAATATACACCAATCTCTTCTTAGTCTGACACAAGGACACAATGATGGGTTACAGTGAGAATCGATCAAAAACGTTTGACGTAATTTCACAAATCATCACAATTCCATTGGCATCTGAATTAAATTTACTAAACTTAGCCTAACCCCCAATAATGCGACACCTAGTGAGGAATGCTCGTACTACACTAGAGAACAGCTCTGTGAGAGCAACTTATTAAGTGTCGCACTACGGCAGGCTTCCTCAAAGCGGGATTCATTTGATCTCATTAAAAAAAAAACATATGCCATAGCTCTGTTAAAACATTTATTTGCAAGTATTTCACTACCGAAAATTTTTCAAATGGGCTTCGTTATGAATGAGGGCGAATATCTCGAGGAGATACGATAAAGATGCAACAACACAATAACGAAAATGCTGTATATGTAAACAGTAAGTGTATGTATGTCTAGCTGGTCATGAGATGTCTAGCTGATGAGATTCGAACCCGGGTCTCATGGTCAAAATGCGAACGTTCTAAACACTCGATCACGTGCCTAGAAATAGTAAGTGTAAGAAAAGCATTATATACACACATCCAAATATATGTATTCATTAAAGTGTCTTTATTAATCATTGCATTAATTCTAATAAAACGATGAGTATTAATATCATTTATAACAACGGCGCAGTATAATTTCTACCATACGTACATCATTAATATAACAGGTTTACGGGTAGAGTATCTTTTCTGACGAGAAGCAACAATAAAAATATGAATATCATTAAGCTTAGGTTTATCTGCCACGAGTGTGTAGTACTGTTGTGGTAAGAGCCAGATATCCTCTTTACTATCATGAATAGACTGATCTATTCATTTTAAGTAGTCCAAGGTAATTTCCAAAGGAGGAAGATAATACTATTGCAGAGACATGTATAGCTTCATATTGAACAATGCGTATCCAAATGTAAACAAATGACGTCACACATTATGAAATGGACAGTGAGCAGATATGAATGTACGTGAGAGATTCATGGAAGATTGTAGTTTAAAAGCAGTAAAATCGACCTCGCTAACTGAACGATCCTCTGTGGCTCAATCGGTTAAAGCACGTCAGGCTATATGACGGTTCTGTATAGGATACAGGTTCGATTCCTGTCGGAGGACGAATATTTTCTATGAAAATGTCTCGGACATTCAGGCCGGTAAATGTTATTAATACTG